GGGCCGGGCTGCGGCCGGCGGGGGCTCGCTGGACACCCCTGAGCGCTGTCGCCCTGCGGGGCGTGCGGGACTCGCAGCCGGCCGAGGGCGAGGAGGTGTAGCGGGGGACACGCGTGTCCGCGCCGTCCTGCGGCGCAGGCCGGCCGAGGGGCCCCGGGCAGCACCGCAGCCCTGGGACGAGCAGTTCGGGTCGTGTCGGGGACTTGAACGGTGCCTTTTGCAAGGGAAACAGTTACTGGAGGATTTAATGTGAATTGGGCAGTGTATCAGGAATTTCTTACGGAACATTTTTATTTAAGTATAATTATTTATTACTACTACTATTGTTGTTGTTGCTATTTTTGTTATTATTGTTGTATAGTATTATAGTCTTCTACTACTGTCTTACGTGGCAGCCAGATTTTCTTCCTGTACAGGGTCTTAATTTAGAGGTGTTTTCTGCCTTTTGACTTTTCAGATAACAGGTGGGACGATAAGTTATTTGTTCCTGTGTGTTATAAAGAGGATTATTAAATTCCTAACATCCGTGTAAGCCATTAGAAGTGTTCCTAATGTGACCTGAAAGTCTTTATTGGCAGTCATCTGTGGTGGGAAAGGAACCAATCTTGTTTTTCAAGATTCTAGGGCACAGATGTGGATTTGATGTTTTCTGTCTTAATGGCAGAATTCAACTCTAATGGAAGTGATGCAGGTGTGACCTTCATAATACAGGTCATAAGAAATTTTAGCTAGGCAGATATGCTTTATGAACTTTAAACTACTGGGCTGCTAAGTGAATTAAGAAATAAATCCTTAGTCTTGCGAATATGACTAACCTAACCACCATGTTCTGACCCTGACCAACCAACTAGATTTTTACCTGTCAGGTTGCACACACATCCAGGTCATAGCATCATGTCTTAAATATGAAGGAAAAGTATTATGACAGTGTTGAAAGACTTGCATTCACCCATTCCCTTAAGCAAAGTGCCTGCTTTTCCTACCAGTGTAACAGAAGTCTCTGAGCTTTTGATGCCCTTTGCAAGCTTCTGGTGCAGGTGAACTTTGATTTTTCCGGACACCACCCCAATGTGCCCTGGTGATGTTTCTAATTCCTTCTTTGTGGCCTGTCTTTGCACCCGCTCCCTGTGTGACACTATTCTTGGGAGCTAAGTCACAAGTTCCCTGCATAGCCCTGCTAGTCTCCTGATACATCTTCTTGTCTTCCTGAGTAGATCACTCCAGCCCCAGGCAGGCTTAAAGCCCCATCAGCTTTTCTCTGCTCTTTTCTCCTCCAGACCTGCCTCCCGCTGGACCCCATTTACCTCTTCCATGATTAAGGTGAATTGTGCTGACTTCATTGACTTCATACTGGTTGGTTGAAGGTAGAAACTAGATTCTGGCCTTACTTCACTGACTTTTACACTTTGACTCTGTATTCCACAGTTGAACTCTCCTCACTGTGTGTGTGACTGAATTCACATCAGTAGTTTTTTGTGGTTCACTCTTCTGTTTAGATATTTTTCTTCCTGTGCCTTTCTAAGACTCTTTAAGGTTTTGCAGATAGAAGCTGTTTGAAATGGCATCTTCTGGACATGGTTGACTTTCTGAGATTCTGTAGATGCCTTGTCTTGCCTCTTCAGGGGAAGAGGCATCTCCCCCTTTCTGCTCCATTCCAGTTTTCTGCCTTTTGAAAGCAAATATCCTCCTAGAGAGCATTTAAGAGATGGATGTGCTCAGATTAGAGGGGAAAAAACACATCTGAAACCAGAGGGGGAGAAACTATACTAAGTTTGGTGCAGTCTGAAAGGAAAACTAATGGAAGCTCAGAGCATAAGCTTTTGTAACATTTGTGATGTGACTTTTGTGATGCAAGCAAAAAGTGAAGTCACTGTTGTACATAGTTTATATGAATTCTTCAACTGAAGTTAAAGTCCTGAACCTCTGCGTTTTGCTACAGTGTTACATAAAGAAACATGACCCTTATGTGGAGCACTGAAACACACATTCCTTCATATGCAAACCTGTTGTCTAAAAGGCTTTATCATTGAATATGTTTGTGGAGTTGATATTTCTCTTTCCAAAAATTCGGTGATACTGTGTTAGCCAGACGTCCTTCTTAAGCTTTAAAACTTGTTAATTTCTCTAAGTTGATTGGACCTGTTTATGGGAGGACTACACACAGTTACTGGGAAGCTGTTGAGTATAGAAGATTTAAGAGAAAAATTGCCATTTCTGAAAATAAAGCTTTTGGTATTAGCTGTGGTTCCAGACTTGGTATTTTATGCTGCATTGAGACATCAATTTTTTGTGTTTAGAGCACTGTGATTAATATAATTCAGAGATCTGTGTAGGTGTGTTGACCTGTTGGAAACTGGCATTTTGTTTTTACAAATTACTCCTTTTCCATTGTTGCAGAACATAGCAGCTCTGTTGTAAAACAGTGTGTTGGATCTTTTTACAAAAAGGGAGAAATGTAACTGGGTAACCTTCTTTATAGTGTTTGCAAACTCGGGATGTGGTCTTACATCAGTAGTACTTCCCTGTAGCTGTAGCCATCCCTATTGTGTTCATCGGGCTGTTTTCTTAGTAAAAGGATGAAGGCATTTTTCTGGCTGGGAGACTGTGCTGATTACATTTGCCCTTAGAGTCTGATAAAAGTCAAATGATTAACATCTTCTGCTTTATTCTTCTCTTCTTTACTGTCCACTTCCCCCTTCACCTTTAGGAAACTGGCAGGATGCACTCTCTTCATCACTGGTGCGAGCCGGGGCATCGGCAAGGCCATTGCTTTGAAAGCTGCCAAGGATGGTGCCAACATTGTGATAGCTGCCAAGACAGCTGAGCCCCATCCTACTCTTCCAGGGACTATCTACACTGCTGCAGAAGAAAGTAAGTTGTAACAAATGAAGGCTCTCGGCTGGGTGTATACCCTTGCTTAGTTACCATACCTGAGTGGAAAAATGCATAGACTCTTATTTTGAGTTCACCTTTACTAAAATATGCTTAGTGCTTCTCTTGCTTCCCAGGAATGCTGTAATGCTAGGGTAGTGAAGATGGATGTGTGTATATAAATGTAAAAATGCTAGGCTACTTGAGATGTATGAAATAAACATTTGCAGTATTAAGATATTGTTTTGGCTTCCCTCTTCCTCATATGACGTGTTAAAAGGTCACCGTTTGAGACTGTGATTTTCAGTGCCATTTGCATGAGCGGTTCTCAGAAGGTTCATGTTAGTTGTCCCATCTGAGAGCAAATTTTTAAATATTTAATTTTTTAATTGTACAGTTGAAGCAGCTGGAGGAAAGGCTTTGCCATGCATTGTTAATGTGAGAGAAGAACAGCAAATCATTAATGCCGTGGAGAAAGCTGTGAAGACTTTTGGAGGTAAGTTAAGGCCTGGGGAAGGCAGGCATTAACAGGCAGATTGTTCAAACAAAGAGAAAAAAAGAACTGCCTGCCTTACTCATGTTTTTTTTCTTTAAATGCTAATGTGAAATGACTTACTTTAAAACCAGGGATTGATATTTTGGTGAATAATGCAAGCGCCATCTCTTTGACGGGCACTTTGGAAACAGCAACAAAGAAGGTCAATCTTATGATGGATGTCAACGTACGAGGAACCTATCTTACGTAAGTGCTGAGAGAAGGAAGCAAAGAAATTGTAACAGAATGTATGATGTTATTGCAGTTTTTCTGAGAAATTCTGTAGCTGTCTTGCTGCCCTAGAATTTGAATGCAGATATTCTGCATGTGCTCACAGGAAATTGCTCAGTTATTGGTCAACTGATTTGAATTAATATTTCCAAGAATTATTTGCTGGTTGGAGTAAACCGAAACCTTATTACTGAAGTCATTAAATGTTCACAAGCCCCTCCATGAATGTAGGAAGAAAAAAGTCAGTTGTTTCAAATGAAGTTCCAGCTTGGAGCTAATGCTGATACTCTTTCATTTCAAGCAAAATGACTAAATTTTTGCATACATCAAGTCAATATCTTACTTGTCAGTTTTCTTCTCATAAGCTTCTTTCTCGTCTTGAGAAATGTTGTATAACTCACCATACTTAAAATTGAAATGTTAAACTTGTATCTTCATGATCCAAAGTGTTCTCCACCTACTTTCAGCTTATCAATTCTATTATTTATTTAAATTAACATATTAAGATTTGATTTCACAATTCCCAGGTTCCTTATTTTGCACACGTTAGGAGGTGGATTTAGCAGGTTGAATCATCGTTACATTTACAGGATGTCATTTAAAGCACTGTCTTAAAATAAAGACTTTGATTTTCGCAGAGTTTATAAAAAAGCCCATAAGATGATGGAGATTCTCTAAATTCAGATGTTGCTTGGTGTGATCAGAAAGTTTTGTTTCAAAGTATCACCACAGAATTATAGAATAGTTTGAGTTAGAAGGCACCTTTAAAGGTCATCTAGTCCAGTCCTCCCATCTAGAACAGACTGATTGTCATTCTCCTTTGTGCAGATTAGTCTGGTTGCCAGCTCTTCGTAAATTGCTCATGGGTTCAACTGTATTGCTATGGCAAGATCCATCTTCTCCTCCCCAGCCTATAGCAGCAGTGATTTTTTTGATGTTACATCTAGCTATTCCAAATTAATGGGGAATTCTTAAAGTGTATTTTTGGTCCTGTTCTACGTTGAAAATATTAAAAATCAGGTTCTGTGTGCTGGAAGGGGAAAAGCATAAGAAAAATCAGTGCCTCTCAAGAGAATGGTCTTTGTCATTGTTTTTGTAATTCTCAATTGAGAAAACCTAGTGAAGCATTTTTGCCCTTTTTTCTCCTTGCTTTGTATATTAAATCTGATTGTAATTTGTAGAGAGCTTCTTTCAGTTTAATGTTCAGAAAATTTCAATAGGTTAAAAAAAAAGGTGTGGGTTTTTTGCCTGTGTAGAGGTGGTACTAGGAAAGATTCCCCAGCTTACCGAGTATACCTGTTGACAGAGGATCATGGAATTGTTAAATCGTGGAATGGATTGGGCTGAAAGAAAGCTTAAAACATTGTCTAATTCCAAGGGCTGGAAGAGACCTTAAAACATTGCCTGCTTCCAAGCCCCCACCATAAGTAGAGATATCTCCCATAGACCAGGTTGCTCAGAGCCCATCCAGCCTGGCCTTGAACACTTCAGTGGGTGGGGAATCTGCGGTTTCTTACCCAACATATTCCAATACCTTACCACCCTCAGACTAAAGAATTTCTTTCCTAATACCTGATCTCAACTCACCCTCTTTCAATTTAAAGCCACACCCCCTTGTTCTCTTACTCCATGCTCTTGTGGAAAGTCCCTCTCCCACCTTCTTGTAGCCTCTTTAGGTACTGGAAGGCTGCAGTAAGGTGACTCCAGAGCTTCCTCTTCTCCAGGCAGAATAATTCTGAGCCTGTTCTTGCAGGAGAGCTGTTCCATCCCTATGATCAATTTGGTGGCCTCCTCTGGAGTTCCCTTAAAAGTCCAATGGCCTTCCTGTGCTGGGACCCCAGAGCTGGATGCAGGGTTCCAGGTGGAGCAGAATCCCCTCCCGCCCCTGCTGCCCACGCTGCTTTGGATGCAGCCCAGGACATGTTTGGCTTTCTGGGCTGTGAGTGCTCATGGCCAGGTCATGTCCAGCCTCTTACCCAGTAGCACCCCCCAGTCCTTCTCACAGGGCTGCTCTCCATCCCTTCATCCCCCAGCCAGTGCTGGTACTGGGAGTGTCCTGACCCAGGTGCAGCACCTTGTTCCTGGTCTTGTTAAACCTCATGAGATTCCCATGTGCTCACTTCTCAAACTTGTCCAGGTTCCTCTGGATGGCATCCTGACCTTCAGTGGTGTCTATAGCACCACTCAGTTTGGGATAATCTGCAAATTTGCTGAGAGTGCACTTGATCCCTTCATCTGTGTCATTGATGGAGACATGGACTAACACTGGTCTCACCCGCGAGAGACACCTCTTGTCACTGATGTCCATCAGGACTCTGAGCCATTGGCCACTACCCTCTGGATGCTGCTGTCCAACCAATTTCTTTTCCACTGAACAGTCTATCCATCAAATCTTCTTTCCCCAAGTTATATAGAAGGATGTTATGAGGAACCTTATATATACGGTCTAAATGACAGCTGTAGTGCTACCCTTGACCTCTCTGTAGTCCTTCTGTCATAGAAAGCCTTTTGGTTGATCAGGGAGGAGTTGCCCCTGGTGAAGACCCTCTGACTGTCCCAAATCACCTCCCTGTCCTAGATCACCTTCTGATTCTAGGAGGATCTGTTCCGTGATCTTCCCAGGCATGGAGGTGAGAATGACAGGTTGGTAGTTCCCAGGGTTCTTGTGTCCACCCTTTTTAAACATTGGTACATTTCCCTTTTTCCAGACACTTGGGTCTTCACCTGATTCCACAATTTTTCAAATATGGAGAGTGGCTTGGCAACTTATTCCCTCAGGACTGTGAGGTGCATGTCATCAGGCCCCATGGACTTGTGTATGTTCAGGCTCCTCATGGTCAGAATCCTCATCTTCACTTAAAGTGGGAAGTGCTTTGCTCCCCCAGTCCCCATCCTGCTGTCCATCTACTTGACAGGTGTGGGAAGAGAAGTTGCCATTGAAGACTGAGGCAAAAAAAGTTGTTGAGCCCCTCAGCCTTCTTGTCATTGGTTGCTAGCAGTGTTCCAGCCTTGCCTATCCCAGGGTGTAGGTGTGTACGCTGTCTTTGCTTTCCTTTTCTGACTGGCAAATCTGTAGAAGCCCTTTTTGTTATTCTTTGCATCCCTTATAAAGTTCAGCTCCAGCTTCACTGTGGCTTTCCTCACCCCAAATGTGTACAACAAGGCTGTGCCCCTATATTCTTCATAGGATACTTTTTCCCTGTCTCTACTGGCTATGCATTTGTTTCTTGTCGTTTTGTTTGACCAGCAGTTCTTGTACTCTTCCATTCCAGTCTCCTGCCTTCCTTGCCAATTTCTTGTGCCATTGGATCACTAGCTCTTGTGCTCTATGGAAGGTGTCCTTAAAGATGTGCCAGTTCTTTTCTGCTTCCTTGTTTCTGAAGGCAGTGTTACAAGGGTTCCTACTGACTAACTGATTGAAGAAGTGGAATTTTGCTCTTCTGAAGCTCAGGGCCCTGACTTTGCTCTTTGCCATTTCCCTCCAAACAATGAACTCCACCAGTGCGTGATCTCTGCAGCCCAGGCTGTCTCCCATCGTGTTGTCCCTGATTAGCTCAATTAAGTTTGTGACCATGAGGTCCAGAATGGCATCCCTTCTGGTAGGGTTATTGCCTGGGTTAAGGAGTTATGCTCCATGCCTTCCAGGAATCTCTTGGATTGCTTACAGTTTGCTTTGCCACTTTTCCTTCAGACACTGGGGTGTCTGAAGTCTCCCAGTAGGACAAGAGCCTGTGAGTGTGATCCTTCCCATAGCTGGAGCAAGAAGGTCTCATCAATAGGCTACTCTTAGCCAGGGACCTGTAGTGACACCAACCGCAAGATTCCCTTTGTTGCCTCAGTCTGTTTCTTACTCACAGTCTGTTTCTTACTTACTTACCTGCTCATTACTTACCTGCTCTTAGTTACTTACAGCCTCAGTCTGTTTCTTACTTACTTACCTGCTCATTGTTGTTCTTCTTCAGTTCACAGGCTCTTCTTCATAGATGGCTCATCACACTCAATGCACTTCTTGGTGTAGAGGGCAGCCCCTCCATCTTTCCTTTCTCCCTTGTCCCTTTTGATCAGGCTGTAGCCATCAATGGCTGCAGTTGAGTCATGGGATTTATCCCACCAAGTTTCAATAGTGGCAGCTAAGTTTCTTGGTTCCTATGCATTAAGAAATTGGGGAATCTGTTAGTGAACCTGCCACTGAAAAGAGTTGAGACCCCAGGACAGTTAAGGAGGTGGTAAATCTCTTACTTTACTACTATGGTGATTTTGCTGTTGAAGGTGTTGAAGTTGTTCCCTTTGCAGCTGAGAGTATGTGTGGGTCCTATTGGAATATTTGAACAGTTGGTCACTAATGTGGTGATGTTTTCACCCTGTGAAGCTTGATTAAAAATTCTCAAGCAGAGATAAAATATAAACATGTGCTCTAGTGCTAGAAGTGAAGTCAAAAGAGAGTTTCTGTAAAGTAAAAGTTCAATTTTAAAGAGATGTGTAAATTCAAAGTAGAATTCTCTTAGAAGATAATAGGGTTTCAGTTTTCTTTGGAATATTTTAATAGCATTCTGCTATGCAGTATTATTTCAATATGGTTTTAAAGAAGAAATAGGTATGGAATAGAAGAGAATTTTTTATGACTGTATGATGCTCTACATTTTTAATTTTGATTGTTGCCTTAGAGTGTTTTGTTGTCACTACCAGAACTATTACAAGGAGATTATGGCTTCTGAGTATCTGGAAAATTAGCTTCAGTCAAAACTGATTCGCTGGTTGGAGAATGTGGTCCAATTTGCAGGAATGAATATTAGGCCTGAGATAAGTGATCTGCGACAGATTTTTTTTGTTGTTCTTTCCATCATTTAAATACTTGATGTGAGAAGAGGCTTTGTCTTGCTCTGTTGTGAAAATACTGGTCTGCTACTATTGTTTTTAATGTAATTATAGGTGTGCCATAAAATAAGAGGTAACTGATTTGTCTGAATCTATCTTTCAGGTCTAAAGCATGTCTTCCCCACTTGAGGAAGAGTAAGAACCCCCATATCCTGAACCTTAGTCCACCGATGAATCTGAACCCCATGTGGTTCAAAAATCATTGTGGTGAGTAGCTTTCAGAGACTTTGTTGCTATTTTGTGAGAAACATTTAAGTACCTGGTGAAGTGTGCAGTAGTGCCAGTGCAGAATGCCAGATCTTGTATCTTTAGCACTGCATACGGACTGGCACTAATGGTTCCTCAAAGCATTTTGTACCTGACCTACAAGAAATTGTTTTGTGGGAAAATGTAGAGCAGGTTTCAAGGCATCATCCATCCTTTTTGTTTTCAGGGTAAGTCTGATTTTCTATGGGAATTGTTAGGATTACACATTTTCTGCTCCAAATAGAGACTGAAACCCAAAATTTGTTTTCTTACTGATTCATCTTCCTGGTTTTTTAAATATGGATAAAGCTTAGTGTTCTGTTTTAATATGCAAATTATTTTGAGGTGGAAGAACAACTCCATGTTGTCTTGAAATTAGTGTTGCTCATTTTAAAACTGTAGCAAAACCTTTCCACTTCGGAAGTTTAACTTGTCATGTTAAACTCCAGCAAGTTCCAGTTCTTTTCTCAAGAAAGTTTCCGTTCTCAAAGTAGATAGGTAACAAGGATATAGAGCTCCTGTTCCCTACTTTCTTTGTTTATAGGATTCTAGTTTGGTCCTTAACAGCTACTATGCCTTAGGCATCTTAAAAAAAATTGATCACTCTGTCAGTGTAGCCTGTATAAAAAGCATGACAAAATCCACCATGCAGCTAGGCTTCAGCTTTCTTTTTGGCAGAACGTGTAGTTTTCATTTTGTTTTCAGTGAAAAGATGACAGACTACAGTTTATAGCTGATGGAGATGGCAGGTAGAAGGGACAGATTTTGACTCTAGGAAAATACTGTTTTTTCTGAAAACCCTGAATTTTCCATGTGAACCAATTATCTGTTTTATCTTCCACTCATAATTAAAATTAGATTTTACATAGAGTCTAAACTTATTTATTTTTTCACTTCTTGTCTTAGCTTATACCATTTCTAAATATGGGATGTCCATGTGTGTCTTGGGAATGGCAGAAGAATTTAGAGGAGAAGTTGCTGTCAATGCTTTATGGCCTAAAACAGGTAATTTTTTAAATTTTATTACTGAAATATTGACTTTCTGTATTTTGTCTGCTAAAACTTGTTTTATTTGACAATGAATATACTTCAGACTTCTGGAATAGATTCAAGTGACTGAGAAGTTCTTTTATATGTTATTTCTTCATCCAGCATGAGTTCTGGTTTGCATTGCTAGTTCTCACTAGACTGTTGTCACTTTGATCTAAACTCATCTTCATGTAGTTTAAAACCATACAGTTGAAGTGTATGTGTAGTGTTTGGCTTGCCTGTGCTTTTTCTGATGCACCCAGTGTTTTGGTTTGGACAGGATCACAAAAATAATTGTATGCTTTAATGAGTGGGTATTGAACATCTGTGTATGTAGTACTATTTAGAATTCCTTGCTAGTTAATCTGCGGGAGCTTACTGACAAGACAGATACCTCTGTACATGCAGAAATAATTTTTAAAAGGCCTGTTCCTGGAAGTTTAGGCGCAGTACATTTCTGTGAAGAGCTGTTCACAGAACCATCTGATTGCAAATGACAAGAAATTAAAGTGCTCTCTGGAAGAAAAATAGCTCAATGTTCCCATGTTGTATTAGCTTCAAGTTGCTTTGTGTGGGTCAATGAGGATAAGGACTGCTGTTTGAGGTTTGGCCAGCTGTTTGCCAAGGAGGCCAGTCGCTTTTCCTCAAATATATTTATGGGCAGAAATTATACTGAGTGTTAAAATCAATACCAGACAGAGGGTAATCCTACCCCTTAGTGGTGTAAGCCCTGTCATTGTGTTAGAAAACATTACAACAGTGTTTATTTCCTTAACAAGTGCAAGGAAGGAAGAAGGAAGAGGAGATAAAAATATGAGCTAAGATCCTCTTCTGAGGATGGTGCTCCAGTTTAAGAAGTGTTTGTACACAGACACTTTTCAGTGTTTTGCTGTTAGGAATTGTAGGCCCCTTTTAAGCTTTAGTGGGCACTGGAACTCTCTGATCTACTTTCTCTGAGGTGAGAAATGTGAGGAAAACTTAACTATTTCAGACAAAATGAGCCAAATTTATCCACTTGAATGTGGTAAGTGATCATCAGTTGAATAGTTGGGTTGGTGTGCCTGACAGACTTGGTCCTTTTTCATTGGTCTGGACACTTGCATGTTAAATGCTTCCAGTAAATGGATGTTTCATAGTTCTTCTCACTCTGTGAGTTCTACCCACAGAAATATTTTAGATTTGGGATTGACTTTTAAAAATTATAATTATATTGTTCATGATCATTATATTATCACAAAGCCTGTACTATCTTGAAGACAATAAAGTCTTCATCTGTGATGTACTGGAGGCAACTATATGCATAACTTAAGAATATGGATTGCCTTGTGGTGGAGTCAAAGTTCACCTTTCAGGTTTCAAGTGTGTATTGTATTTTTTTATTTCTGAGGCAGCTAAAAGAAATGTGCACTTGTTTCCACATACTTGCTTCTTGAGTGCCCCAGTAAAACCTCAAAAATTTTTCAGTGGAGATTTCCCAGTATCTATGTCTTTTGGAATAGAACCATGAAACCTGATTCTTGTCTTTAGCTCTCTAGATCCCACCCATCCATTCTGTCTTGTCTTTAAAATGACACTGTTTAATGGGTTTTATGTCCCCTCAGAATCCAGTAGGTGGGAGTAACTTGGTTTCTCATTAACAAAGGTGACCTTCTACCTACCATGGTGTGGTTTTTGGTCATTGACTGATTTAACAGTGTATATTGCCTATGAAAGTTAGGGATTATAAAGGAATTAATTCAGATTATCTCATTCAGATAGAGAGACATGGTATGAAACTACAGACAACCAATTTAACTTATTTTTTCATGAGAAGGGTGTTACAAGATTGCCTGTGTCTTTTGTAAGTGTACACATTCATATGCTGTATGGACACATTATGTGGGTCATCCACAGCTTTCTTATTCTGGATGTGCTGGAATCCAGCACATCCACTACTATTGTGGAAATGAGTCAATGGCTTTATGGGTCCTATTAAAAGCTAATGAATTTTTTTCTGCAGAGACCAGCTGGTTATAATAGGTATTTATTTTGCAACATGGCTGTTTCCCCCGCCCACCTGAATAATTTGACCTGAAAAATAATGGCAAGGGAAAAATGAACCTGTGAGAATTTCTCCACCCCGTCCACAATGGAAATTTTTTCAGAGGGGCAGCTAACTTTATAAGCAGTCTTACATCACTTACTTTATATTAAGTCTTACATCACACAGTTGAATACATTATTTCTTTATAGTTTTGTCTTATGCTGCAGCACTCCAAGAATCAGTAGCAGTACCTGTGTCTCAGATGTGGTCTGGTATTAAAGAATGTCTATGGTGCTATTAATAAAGCTTCTATAAAATCTGACATTCTTAATGTGGGGAAGTGGGAAACCCAAACCATATACAGTTGTATCTTTCTCTTCACCATTACATTTCCACTGTGTCCTTGGTAACATACCCATACCTGCTAAAGTAAGAAGAGAACACTCGGGGAGTTGCTACTGGTTACAGAGTGCAGCTGATACTTGTTCCTCACAGGATCCTGCAGAACATGAGGTTTGGAAGTGCAGGAAGATTCAATTTACAGATGAAAACAGTATATATTCTAATAAATGCTTTTTAAAAGAAAGATTTATCTATATGAGATGCTGCAAAGAAATAAAAAAGTAATTAAGCTTTTTATAAAATCAAAGGTATACAGCAGAGCTTTTCATTTGCAGAAATTATGCCTGCTCATTCAGTGGTGCCTCCATGAAAACTGATGTGACATAAAGTATAAAAGATCATAATGTGTGAATTCTCCAGTACAAAAAAATGTGCTTTTGAAAGGTTTATCTTACAAAAGTGAGAAAGTTAACTTCTTATTGTGAACAGCCAGAGAGAGGCAGTGTTACAGACTTCCAAGGTATCTGAAATACAGTTGTAAAGTTCCTAATTTAAGAGCCCACTATCATCTCATACAGATGTGTTTACCCTCAGTGTTAGTATGGGTGCCAGGATCGGTTCATTAATCTGATTCTTTAAACACATGATGGTATGTTGGTACTGAGATGCCAGAGTTCTCCATTTATCTAAAAGTGAAAGAGGACATCTTTCAAAAGGGAAAGGGGCAATCCCATCACAAAGAGAGCAGAGGAATAATACAGGTGTCCTGGGACAGAACTGAAAGTCTGTTGATGTGTGCTAGAGGCAAACCCGCGTCCCTTTATATGAAATGAATGTAATGATGTGCAGCCAGACTACGAGGCAGTACTGTTTGAAACCTCTTTGCTTCAGTCTATGCAGATAGGGTGACTGTGCTCAGAAGAATAATAGTTAACAGTAACAGAGAAGTGACAGACCTGTGGGACAGGGAAAGTGAGCAGCTTAATGAATCCTCAGAATAAATATATTTAAGAGAACTTGATAAATTTCATCATAGTATTTGACAAAAATATTCTCTGCACTGTTGGTAGCTATTAAAGAAAACATCTTGCTGGGTATATATCACTTCAGAAGATGAAAAAAAGTCAAATTTATTGACTTCCTTAAAGATGAGAAGGAGACCTAGGTAGACCTACATGTATGTATAGTATATCTATTTGTCACTTTTTATTTAGACGTGTGTTTGTAGCAGTTCAATTGCTTTGAAAAAAAAAGAAAAGCTAAGGTTGCTTAATGGTAAATGAAACCTAGAAGCTAATTCTCTTAATAGAAAACTAATGTAGTGAAGTCAGCAGGGACATGTACACATTTCTGCACTCTCCTAGGAAACACTTGGACTGGAGCTCTCTGGCCAGTGCTTAAGACTTTGGTCCTTTTTCCCAGTATGTCATTTGAAAGGTGAATGAATGATCCAGCTCAGATACATGTGTCCTGCCCGGTGCCTATTTTTTTTGCTATTAAAGGAATGTTGGGATAATTTCTGTACCAAAATTGCTGTTACTTTGTGTGGAATGGAAGCACTAAAAGGAAGACAAAAATTTATCCTTCAAGGTTTATCCTTCTGCTTCCCTGATGTTCTGGTCTGATATGTAGGAAAGGATTTGTGAATCTGCCTCAAAACGTGGGGGCAGAGTGTTGAGTTTTAAATAGCAGATGGGAAAAACTAATGAAGCAGAGCATACGAGGGAAAAACATAAGATGGCAAGTGTCAAAAGCTGCAACCAGACAGCCTTTCCATGGAATAGGATGAAAAAAAAATGGCATGGATACCTCAGCCTGGAAGAGCAAATCACATACTTAGACAGCAACATGCCACAGTTTTAGTAGATCCCATGAGAGAAACATAAAGAAGACTAGTAGAATGGCACAGAAATAACAGAATTGCTTAATAGAAGAATCAGAAGCCTAGGAGGTGTGGATTTTATTCTTAGGTCTAACACAGCCTTTCTGTGAAATACCGGACAAGTAATGTGAGGTTTTGTTATTTGGTTTCTCATTAACTTAGGAGAAACACTTTAGTAGCTCATGGGAGTTACCAAAAGACTAAAATTAAGCATCAAGACTTTCAGTGTGATAATCACCAAACCTAATTCCTCTTTATTACTGATGTGTCATATATTCACTTTGAGGAAAACTGTTGTCCTGTTAGTTTTTCATGTCCTGAACAACTGGTGGAAAACTGGTGGGCTGATAAATACATAGAGGGATGTGAATGTTGGAAAATATTTTGACATTTTTGATTCCTGTGATAGTTTAATGGATTTTTACTGTTGTTTGTAAAGAATTGTTTGTTGGTTGATAGTATTTCTCAGCTTCTGTCCTCTAGAGTTTCCTTTTGCCCGAAAGGAAAATAAAGTTTGTTTACCTGTGAAAGAAATGAGAATTCCATGTCATCAGTGTTAAAACTTTGTTTTCTTACCCTCCAAACTTTCTAGCCATACATACAGCTGCTATGGATATGCTGGGAGGAGCTGGAATAGAAAAACAGTGCAGGAAGACAGACATCCTGGCAGATGCTGCATATTGCATTTTGACAAAACCAAAAACTTTCACTGGGAACTTCATTATTGATGAAGTTCTGCTGAGAGAAGAAGGAGTTAAGGATTTTGATGTTTATGCAATTGCACCAGGTAAAAGAGATCTTTTAAAGGTGAGAAGTAAGTACAAGAAGGAGGGAAGAATATATGGAGAATACAGTTTTGTTTCCCAGGGTTCTTAAATTAGTTTATAAAAAAACGTTGCTTTGCCTCAGCTTTGAGAACATGCCTTAGTAGAAAGGCCATATGGATCCACGGAGAGTTTAATAATTAAATGTCTATTAAATTAAATTACCTACCTGCATTGTAGATGTATATATTACTATTTAACAGCTAGTGAGATAGATTTTTATGTTTTTCTTCTCCAGTGTTCTTCACTGCAGCCTTAGAAGCCTTCTAGGTCAGATTTTAAATGAACAAAATTCTAAACATGTTACTTCATGCTACGTTTTCCCTTCAAATTTAAACTGAGATACAGTACTACTTGACTGTAGTTTCAGATGAAATGGATTCTTGCTGTGCAAATCTGATTTACTTGGACTTATTACTACATTTCTCCTACCTCTTAGGTCACCCTCTGATGCCTGACTTCTTCTTAGATGTTGAAATTGACACTACAGCTATGAAGCAAGAAGGATATGGTAGGGAAAGCATTGTGTGTACAAGTCCATAATTTCCATAATTATTTCATTTCACAATAATGAATGCTCTCTGGGTTTGTATTTTTTCCCCTCTGAATTTTGACTCCACTCAAGCTTTTTTAGCAAAAACCCTTTTCTCATTTAAAGAGTAAGATCTATGGAAGTGACTATGTAGTTAAAACTAGGGGAAAAAATCATACCTCTTGCAGGACTTCCATGGTGTAAAGTCAGTGTATTATTTTGAAGAATTCTTTTTTTATCATCTGAATTGTGATGGTAGGGAGGTCACAGGTAAGTATTGCTGGAAAAAGAAATTAGACTGCAAACAGCATATTTTGTAGGTATATCTCCTTGGCCTTGCTCCTTTATACAAAAGAATATGAGATAAAGCCTCCATGTCTTCTTACATGAAATGTGCACAATTTGCACATTTAAAATAAATTTTGGGTGAAATGTAGAATTATTTTTTTTTTTAAGAAAAGCATTGCTTTTTCTTTTTCAGAATTGTTTTATGTCAAGTTGAAGGGTGACTAAGAATGCTGAACTGCTTTTATAGGAGTGTCAAAATAGGGATAAGGCCAGAGCAGAGGAGGCAAACTTGGAAGTGTTCCTTTCTGGTGGAAATGCTCCTTGAGCAGTCACACTAGGACTGTTGTGCCAGGGATGGTGTTAGTTCCTTGGGCTCCCAGTGCGGATTATTTTGTAGGGATTCACAGAACAGAACCTAAGCATTTTTTGATACTGAAGACACCTAAGCATACTAAGGACTTACAACAGCATTTTAAGGGGCTGTTCCACTTGATTGGCTTTGTAAATTGCAAAAGCTTTCCTGTAATGTTAAACGTTCATGTTCATTGGGGTGAAGTAAGCCACTGATACAAGCAGTAAATTTATTTCCACCTTAGAAGCCATTACAGAAGAATTTAGGAAAATATGCATGTTCTTCACAAGATAGACAGGACAGAAGTATTTTGAGATTAAAGCAATGGCTATTAAAGACAGTGACTTTATATTTTTAATGTTGTCAGGAGCAGTGTATGGATTACATTAGAAAACTGTTGTGTGAGCACCTGTAATGAACTGTAAACAGAATTAGAATTTTGCTGTGGTTCTATTTTCGCTTTTCCTTTGATCTGTCAGGAATTAAAATTTATTGCAGAATTACGTTTAGCTAATTTAGTGATTCACATTCCTGGTGGAGAAAGCATCCTTTATCAGTGTTAATACTGAAATGGTAAAATAATCACTTTTCCTACTTTGAAGCTGAAATCTTTTCAAATGAAGTTTTCTGCCTATGGTTCTACATTCATTTTTAAAATGGTTTGCATTTGAAATAGAAAAGTAATCTTTCTCATAGGTGCTGCCCAAGAGCAGAAGAAATTAAGCAGATCCCAGCAGGAAGGAGCAGATGCAGCCAAGGCTAAGACAGACTCTGCTGCAGCCACGCCATCGGCAATATAGATGCTAAGGTTTCACTGTCATGGAATTATGTTTTCCTGTGCAAAGGCTTTTTCCATTTTCTTTGATATTTTGATGATTCTGTTTCTTCTTTTTTAGGTAAATTAAAGCCAACTCTGGCCTTCATGACTGGAAGATTAAAGATTAAAGGAAACATGGCACTAGCAATAAAGCTTGAGAAGATGCTTTCACAGCTTAATTCTAAACTGTGAGGCGAAACCCATACTAGCACAACAGTGGCCTTTCATATATAACTGCAATGCTGTTTTAAATTTTTAGTCCTTGTTTTTCTGATGTAGTATAAGAAATAATTATAAAATTTGAGATTTTTATAGAAGAAATAACTCAATCTCATTAAGATGATGTCCATAATTAAACTAATTCTGTCTCAAGAATGCACTTAGGCTCCAGGTGTTTTCTTTATTTCTGCTCCTCTGGATAAACGTAGGACATCTGAAGTGAGATTTTTCACATGTAGTTGATTGTGCACATATTCCATGGAAAAGGTGGGTAGAGCAAATGTCGCCCTGCAGATCAGTGCTAGAAGTGCTATGCTGAATTTACTAAGCTGGCTTAGGAGTAGAAGTAATGTAGTCAGTTTAACAGAACTTTAGTTACACCTGGTAAGTTATTATCTCAAATTTTTATTTCCTTTTATGAGTTTATTACTTACATGTATTCTCATACCTCTGTATTGCAATGAGGCTGCACAGCCATATTGAGTGATAAGCAAGTTTTCTTCTTATGCAAAGTACACTCACACACATGCATGGTCATGTGCTCTCTCTTTTCTCCTACCCCGGTACATCCCTGCGGCCAGTCATTTCCCCTTCCTTCCATTTGGCTGATAAAGATTTAAGCTCACTGGTAAAATTATGCATGTCTCCATTTTCTAAGTGCTCAAGTGCACACATGGGCCGCCACTGCATGTCACAGTATCTGCAAAGTCAGAAGGACCAACCTCTTAAAATGTTTATTCATGGCAGCCAAAAAAACTGCCCAGAATCTGGATCATTCACTCTTCTGAGCAAGCTGAGAAGGTTGCAAGACTTAGGATTTATTTCTTAATTAATTTAGAAACCTAAAAGTTTACAACTTTTTAGAGCCTGTGCTTGTTTCAAATTGCTTGACCTGCATTGAGAAGGTCACATCTGTACTGCTTTCATCACAGTTCACAGAATCACAGAATGGGTCAGTTAGGAAGAGACGACATTGGGTCATCTGGTCCAACCTCCCTGCTCAAGCAGCATTGTCCTAAAGCACATTGCACAGAATTAAGTCCAGATGGTTCTTGAATATCTCCAGTGAGGGAGTCTCTGCAACCTCTTTGGGCAGCCTGTTCCAGTGTGCAGTCAATCCCACAGTAAGAAAGTTCTTCCTTATATTTGAGTGGGAATTCCTGTTCATCAGTTTTGCCCATTGCCTCTTGACCTATTGCTTGGTATCACTGAGAAGAGCCTGGATCCATGCTCTTGGCACCCTCCCTTCAGATACTTGCAGATATTAATGAGGTAAGGCAGTTGAATTCTGTTGTAAAACTAATTTGCCTCTGCACTGCAGTCTCTGGAATCTTGAAAAATAGTGAGATAGGTTCCTTTCTCACCAGGCACAAGGGGCTGGGGGTGCTGAAGGAGGGAGAGGGGGAGGAGGTGGCTTATCCCATGTTGGGCATTATGGTAGCACAGCGAAGGGTGGCTCTAGCCAGGGGGCAGCAGCAGTGGGCTGTAATGTAGCTGCTCCCAGTCCAGCCCACACACTGGACTGCGCTCAGTGGCTGTGCTCAGCCTAAAGCTCCATGAGATGCGTGTGCCCTAATTCCCTCCCAGTGCCACCACTCCCAGGGGTTGTGCCCAAAAGCTTCAGGCTCCACTGGGCAGTGTCTGCATCTGATCCCCATTGTGGTGTCTGAGTTGGTCACTGCTGGACTGCTGACCCCACATTACTGTCAGTCTGCTCAGATCTGGCAGCTGAAGGATAGCAGAAATGCTGGCGGTGCACCAGGACGTGGAAGGAAAGGCTGAACATGGGATGGAAGGAAAACAAGATCCAGCACTGGAAACCAGAGTCCTCTGGAGACCAAACACCTCAAGTGATAGTGATTATGCAGACATACTGCTGGCTGCTGTAAAGAAGTCTAGTGCTCTGCAGTGCCCTGCAGAAACCGCACGGTCCTGGGGAGCAGGCGGAGGACAGCCCTCTGCTCTCCCAAATGCCCTTCCCTCCGATGGTGCAGCATTCACCCGGAGCTGGCTCCCGACCCCGCAGCTACTCGCAGGAGAACGTGGAGCGCCCTTCTCTTTCAGGAGCTACTCCTCTAATGTTGGTATTTCGCCCATCGCCCCGTGACTCGCTCCAGGCCGCGCTGCAGCGCCGGCTGCCCGGCTGCCCCGCTGGGCCCGCGCTCAGCGCGCTCCGCCCGCGCCTCCCTCCGCCGGCTGCGCCTCCCGCCAGCCCGGCCCGCCGAGTGCGCTGCAGCCGCGCAGGGCAGGAGGAAATGCGGCCGTGCGGAGGGAGTGGCGAGCAAGGTGCTGGTGAGCACTGTCAGCTGGGCCCTGAGTGTCCTGGCGACAGTGAGATGATCTTTCAGGCCCGCATTCGGCTCTGAAAACACCGTCATGTGTGTCCTCCACTTCCAGGTGTCTTTGCCCTGTCTTTTGAGTAGAGTGTAATGTATATGTTTACGTGCTCCCTCCGACTCAGTTCCATTAACTCTCATGGGAAAATCTTCACTACCTGTCTCACACTGTTAGGAATATGTCTTTAGGGAATACTAGGTTTTGGCTGAATCTTCCTCTCATCTTGCCATTGAATGAACTGTCTCTGGAGTGTACTATTTTCAAGAAGGAAGTAAAACTTCAGTTACTTAATTTTTTTTTCCATCTGAGAGACCTTTTTGTTTATGGTATAAACTTACATAAGCTCATTTAATTAGAAACATTTCTACTAATTTAAGAGACATTACACCAGCCACAGTGAATATATGGTACAGGTTTCCAGGTACTCTGGAGACAGTGGAAGTCTATTCAATTCCACTACCACTACAAGAGCCACTCCAGGGATGGTACAAGTGCTTTTAGCGACTCATGTTAGCCCCTCTACAATAATTGTGGCAGAGATCATTCAGTGGCAGGAAATTAAGATATCAAGTGCCTGGCACAACACTTGTTTGTTCAGTATCAGGATTTTGAACTGAATTATAGAAGATTGCATGGTTTTTTACAACTGGAATTTGCAAATGGCAATACATTTCTTCTACCAATGTTTTAAACAGCCAAGCATCTACCTTCAGAGCATCTTCTGGAGAGCAGCTATTTCTACAGACAGCATTATTTGCTATCACTACCTCACAAACAGACTGTTTAACACAGCAAGATGACATTTTTAGCCCACAAGGATGAAAATATTAATGACTTGTACTGCATATTGTAAAGTTTTATATCTGTTATCAAAATGGGAAAAACAAGGCATTTTCATGAAAAAGTTACAGTAACTTTCCATTTAATTTATCAGGATTCATGTTAATACTTCTTTTTAGCAGTGATATAATCACAGGTGGGACACTAGTTACCATATCAAATATTTGCATCTGTTCCAACTTACAGAAACTCCCAACAGTCCTATTTAGTCATAATTCCATTTATTTAGTAAAAATGAATGTTTGAAATCTAGCTTTACTTATTGCTCAAATAACTCATCTCTATTCCCTTGCTTATGGCCTTATATTGGTTTCACATTTTGCACCAGCATTAGCACTGCATATTCTCTAAGACTCTTTTTCCCCTCTTTTGCCTGTAACCATACTCGAAGCTTTCCTGGAACAGTCCAATATTTGATTATCCTTAACTTATGTCAGTGTTCAGATTAGAGGAAGAAGTAAAAAACTGCCAGCTCAAGTCTTTTGTAAGCTATCTGATAGGAGATTAACTTTGATCTGGTTATGCATGATCTGGTGAATCACATCAAAGTCTAGCCAAATTAGTCCAGGCTTGTACCATTATCAGCCGCTCCTCACTGTCTGTGACCACCAGTGCTCTGCATGTGCAACCACAACATGGCTCACACAAAAGGGAGTAACCTGCTTCACACACAGATGAATGCGTATTTTGCAGCCCTGGGTGGCACATCACATTGGGCAGAGGCAAATATATGAGGAGGCTTAGAGAAGGCAGCACAAAGCACAACTACCAGGTGTCCCTGGGCACAACTCAGGGCATTATGAGGACCTTTCCATGATGGAAAGTGTATCTGTGGGCTCAGAGAAAGTCACCTGTGGAGTTGTGAAGATTATCCAGGAGATCATGATCTGGGATCTTCTGATCTATACAAAGTAAATGAAACAAAAGATGGGCACTTAGAGATAGGGTTGATGTTCTCATGTGCGAGGTTTCTACTCCATGATTTTTCCATTTAAGATCCCTACTCTTTCATGTTTAAGGTGATAGACAAACTGTAAAAAAAAAAAACAAAACCAAAACCCTCCACTGCCAGCTGAAGCATTCCTAGTCTCTTCCTGTGTTTTCCAACCCGCAAGGATACTTGCAGCTCAGCTGTACTGGTACAAAACTGTGTGGCCTGCTATGAACTAGAATGGGAAATGCAGCCAGAGAGATTATGTCCTTTTTCTTCAAGTTAACCCATATGAATTCTGCAACTTTGTTAAAATTTAGAAAAAAAAAAACCAAACAAAAAACAAACCCAAGAACAAAACTGAAATAAAACAACAAAAAGTCAAACCACAAACAAAAAACCGCAACCAAACCCACAAACCCATAAAACACAGCAAAAATCTAAACAAAATAGCAAAACCAAAACAATAGAGAAAGACAATTACATTTTGTTGCATAACAGTAGGAAATAAATAATGGAAGTTGGATATGTAAAGCTGGGCAAAGATGGGTCTTTGTGTAGAACAGAAAGTATCCTATGAATATATATGCCTTCAACACCACTTCACTACTTCAACTACTACTGCTACATTATTTTAAGTTACTTCTTCAGTCTGC